GCTCTGCTCAAATATCCACACTAGCATACTACTTAGAATGAACTGAAGCGATGTATTGGACATGCGTTCTAAGCGGTAGCCTCAGAAAGTGTTGCTATTGGAACATGTAGCTGGATATCTCTCTGGTACCTCCCTGGCTGCCGCAGAGCCCTGTAACTCCTCCCTCTTATCCTTCCTCTCTCTCTCCATATTCAATGTAATATATCCGATAACTAATTATGGTAATTCATGACACCTCTAATTAGCTGTGAGCTTTATCGCCCCGCTGTGCCGTAAAGATCTGGATTTATGTTTTGGTTTGAATGTCACCCAGAGGACAGGCAGTGGGCTGCTGCTCCTGCATCACTCAGCTGAACAGAACAAAACACTGAGCCACTTTACTGGTGTTGAGAGAGGGAGGGGGAAGAGAAACAGAGAAAGAGAGCGAGAAATAAAGAGATAAAGTAAGAATGAAATAGTGAGTGGGGAGAACAGAGGGAGAGAAGAGAGAGAGAAATAGAGGGAGAGAAGTAAGAGGTGGGCCGAGAGAGAAGAGAGAGAGAGATAGAGAGTAAGAAGACAGAGAGAGAGAGAGAGGAGAGGAAGCCACTGTAGACTATTGAGATGCAGACAGAATAATATGCCTTCCACAACCCAGACTCAGACTCAGAGGTCAGAGCCCAGTCAGTGGCAGCCCAGACCGCTGCCAAACAGGACAATGGGTTTTCCCCTTTTTTAAATTTCCAAATAAAGAACTTTTTAAATGAAACCCAGGCGGCTCCCCCCCCCCCAGGCCCCCCCCCCAAAAGCCGAAAGGCCCCCTCAGGGGGTTTTTTTTTTTTCCCCGGGGGTTCCCCCAAATGGGAAAAAAACCTATTACTTAAAGGGGGGGGGGAAAAAAAGGGGGGAAATGAGATAAAAAAAGAAAAAAAGGGGGGGCGGGGAGAAGGGGGTGGGGGGAAAAATTCCAAGGAAAAAAGAATGAAAAAGGAGAGGAAAGAAGGGGGGGAAGAAAGGGAAGGGAATGAGGGGAAAAAAAAAAGGGGAAGAGGGAAAAATTTAAAAAAAAAAGAAAACCGTAACTTTTTAATCAGGACAAATTAATATGCCTTACCCCCGCTAGATCAAGGTTTTCAAGAGCCCAGCAGGGGGCGCCCGACCCCGCCAAACACCCCTGGGGCATTCCCCCCCCTTTGTGAGGGGGCGTTTGATTTCAATCAGGAAAAAGAGGAGGATTGAAAGGGTTTGGGCAGGGGGGGGGGAAATTAAAAAAAAAAGGAGATTTTGGGGGTTTTTTTTGATTTTTAATATTGTAGCGGGGTAGGGGTTAGAAAATTAAGTAGGGGTTGGGGAGGAGGAGTTTAACCAAGGGTAGCTTTTAGAGCTTATTCTCCAACCAACTAGCCTGGTGGGTAGGGCACCCTCCTCTCCAAACACCCCTGGGGGGGGTTAACTTTATGTTTCCTCTTTAACGGACCGGGGGAACGTTTCTCCAAAACCTTTTCGGTCGGGGGTTTCTGTCTCCAACCACGTACCCCTGGTTGGGAGGTTCTTCCCCAAAACCCCCTTAGGTAGTTTTGGGGGGGTAGGACTTTTACGTCCCCAATTTAAGGACCGGGGGTTTTGGAGGTTACTTTTCCCAACTCTATAGGTAGCCTGGGGTAGGAGCGTTTTACGTCCCCTAACTCATGGGTAGCTGGTGGGAGGAGCGTTATGTTCCTAACTCTATAGGTACCCGGTGGGTAGGGAGGTTTACTGTCCCCTAACTTATACGGTACCCTGGTGGGGGGAGCTTTACTGTCTCCTAACTTAACGTACCCGGGGTGGCCCGTTACGCCTCCTAACTCTATAGGTCCTGGGGTGGGAGCGAAAATGTCTCCAAACCTATACGTAGCCGGTGGGTGGGCGTTACTGTCTCCTAACTCTATACGGTAGCCTGGTGGGTAGGAGCGTTACTGTCTCCTAACTCTATACGTAGCCTGGCGGGTAGGAGCTTATGTCTCCAAATCATATGGACCTGGGGGTAGGAGCGTTACTGTCTCCTAACTCTAAAAAAAGGGTACCCGGGTGGGAGGGGCGTTAGCTCCAAACTTATGGGTACCCGGTGGGTAGGAGCGTTCTGTCCCTAACTTATGGGTAGCCTGGTGGGTAGGGGGTTTTACTGTCCCTAACTTATAGGGTAGCCTGGTGGGTAGGAGCGTTCTGCTCCTAACCTATAGGTAGCCTGGGGGGAAGCGTTATTCCCCAATTTATCGGTAGCCTGGGGGGTAGGACGTTACGTCTCCACCTATCGGTAGCCTGGCGGGTAGGAGCGTTACTGTCTCCTAACTCTATATGGTAGCCTGGTGGGTAGGAGCGTTACTGTCCCCTCTCTTACGGTACCTGGGGGTAGGACGTTACGTCCCCTAACTCTATGGGTTAGCCTGGGGGGTGGGAGCGTACGCCCCTAACTTTTAAGGGTAGCCTGGGGGGTAGGAGGTTATGTCTCCTAACTCAAAACGGTACCCGGGGGGTGGGAGCGTTACTGCTCCTAACTCTATCGGTACCTGGGGGGGAGGAGCGTTACGTCCCTAACTTTAGGGTAGCCTGGGGGGGGAGGAGCGTTATGTTCCTAACTCTAAGGAGCCTGGCGGGTAGGAGCGTTATGTCTCCTAACTCTATAGGGAGCCTGGTGGGTAGGATTTTACGTCTCCTAACTCATAGGGTACCCTGGTGGGTAGGATTTTACTGTCTCCTAACTCTATACGGTAGCCTGGTGGGTAGGAGCGTTACTGTCTCCTAACTCTATACGGTAGCCTGGTGGGTAGGACGTTCGTCCCCAACTCTATACGGTAGCCGGGGGAGGAGCTTTACTGTCCCTAACTCAAAACGGTACCTGGTGGGTAGGAGCGTTACTGCTCCTAACTCTATTGGTGCCGGCGGGTAGGGGGTTTACTGTCCCCTAACTCTATACGGTACCCTGGAGGTAGGAGCGTTATTCTCCAATTTAAAATACGGTTAGCCTGGTGGGTAGGAGCGTTACTGTCTCCTAACTCTATACGGTAGCCTGGTGGGTAGGAGCGTTACTGTCTCCTAACTCATACGGAGCCTGGGGGGTAGGAGCTTTTCTGTCTCCTAATCTATACGGTCCTGGTGGGGGCGTTACTGTCTCCTAACTCTATCGGTCCTGGCGGTGGACTTTTACTGTCTCCTAACTTATGGGTGCCGGGGGGTAGGACGTTATGCCTCCTAAACTCTAATGGTACCCGGGGGCAGTAAAGGTTATGTCTCCAAACTATACGGTACCCCTGGGGTGGACGTTTTTCCCTCCTAAGTCTATAGGTCCGGGTGGGTAGGAGCGTTACTGTTCCAAACTCTTATGGTCCCTGGTGGGTAGGAGCGTTACTCCCTCCTAACCATACGGTAGCCGGAGGGTAGGGGGTTTTTTTTTTTACGGGTCTCCTAACTCAAGGGTTTAGCCTGGGGGGGTAGGAGCGTTACGGTCCCAAACCATACGGACCGGGTGGGTAACCCGTTACGTCTCCAAACTCTATATGGTAGCCTGGGGGGTTTTGGACGTTGGGCCAGAAACCAAAAAATTGGATCGAATCCCCAAGGAAAAAAATCTGTTTTTTTTCCCCCGAAAAGGGCATTTAAACCCACTGTTCCCCAGGCGCTGATACTGGATTCGATTAAGGCAGCCCCCCGCACCTCTCTGATTCAGAGGGGTTGGGTTAAATGTGGAAGACACATTTCAATTGAATGCATTCAGTTGTACAATTGACTAGGTATCCCCCTTTCCCTGTACAGGTTCACTCAGATCTCTCGCTCATCTTTTTAATTAAGCCTTCTCACTTCAATAAGCGTAGACCTTTATACGTCCTAAATGGCACCCTATTCCCTATATAGTGCACTACTTTTGACAAGAGCCCTATGGGTAGTGAACAATGTAGGGAATAGGGTGTTATTTGAGACAGATCTTTAATTAAGTCTATTCACTTCAACAGGCACAGACCTTTCCCCGTGTCAGCAGCAGCGTAGAAAGGCTGTTCCTTAATGATATGGTCCAGTAGCCTACAGCAGGCCAACTTGGCTCATTGGGAAATTAATTATCCCACTTCTACACATCTTGAGAAAATACAGATGCTTTATAAATGTTTGAAAAGACTAAGAGTGGGTTTACACAGGCAGCCCAATTCAGATCGTTTTGCCCAATTATTGGCGAAATACCTGATCTGATTGGTAAAAAGACAAATTATTGGCAACAGATAAGAATTTGTCTGGGCCCCGTGTAGCTCAGTTGGTAGAGCATGGCATTTGCAACGCCAGGGTTGTGGGTTCAATTCCATGCGGGGCCAGTATGAAAAATGTATGCACTAACTGTAAGTCGCTCTGGATAAGAGCATCTGCCTGTGTAAATGCAGCCTGAATAAATCAAGGGAATCCTAGGGCTGGTTTCTCAGAGTAAGCCTAATCAAGGACTGAAAAGCTATTTAATGGATTATGCTTTTTAGTCCAGGGTTATACTTAATTTGGGTCTGGGAAACCAGACAGTTTTTTTTCTCTAAATCAATTAAATTAATGGGGCAGTAGACTTCTGTTTTTTATCTTACAGGCAAGCTCACTTTTAGAACAATGAGTTGCAATTTATATATTCAACAACACAATACCACCCAAATCAAATGCATGAAAGAGTGTAGAGTCCATAGAGATCCTATTACATTTAATTATATGGTAGTCTCTCTAAAGGAAGAAATACATGTTCTGCCATCAACAACGGAGCAAAGCTGTACCAGTGGAGGTCAGTTAGAATTACTGCAGACAGGGACTCTGATGCCACCTGGTGGTTGTTTTTCCATACTGCACATCAGAATACACTTGAGTAGAAGAGGCCCCCAAGCACTGGCCTAGGATCAGCTTGCTATCACCCAATCCTCAGCAGGTCATAAGGGGGTAAATGGGAAACTGACCCGAGATAAGCGTCTAGTAGAGGCAATTTGATCCAACTCCGCATGGAATGGCAGGTAAAGAAAACAAACAACCAGGAGCAGTAGGAAGTATTTATTCAATATGCCTGACCACTAATATACACATATTTCTCAACCAAAGACTCCATAAGCGATTCTTTGTAGACAGTTCACAATACAAAGACACTGGACAGACCATGTATCAAAAGGGGAAACGTGGCGATAACTTAGAAACAAAAGCAGTTTACTGAACTCAAATACCTGCTGACAAAACTCCTTAAAGCACTTTGTAAGATCAAGATGGACATGACATGCATCCATTATTTTTCATTTTGCTACAGACAGTTGGCTTTGCTGCTTAGTTTAACATCCCCTTCAGATATGGTCAGTCTCTATGCATCACACATGGAAGATGGGATTTAGATGCCCTAAAACAAAACACAAAAACAGTACACATCAGTGTTGCTGGAACAAGCCAACAGTTATTTCACCCATGGCTGAGTTGTATGATCAAATACCTGCTCAGGTGGGCCTTTAAATGGCATACAGCTCCATGAGGTATTCTTTAGGCACGATGCCAACAGAACCCTTCATCTCCCCGATCCACCAACCATAGCTCTGGTACTCCTGATAGAGGAGAGGAGAGAACAGAGAGGAGTGAAAGAGAGAGAGAGAGAGAATAGAGTGAACAGAGAGAGAGAGAGAGAGAGAGAGAGAGAATAGAGTGAACAGAGAGAGAAATAACAGAGATAGAGAGAACAGAGAGGGAGAGAATAGAGTGAACAGTGAGAACAGAGAGAGAACATTTCGTATCATTGAATGCACTACAATGCATTTGTTGTAAAATAAAAAGATATATATATATATATATACACACACACACACACACACACACACACACACACACACACACACACACACACACATACATACATACACACACATAGAGGAGATGCATCTTGAGCTTGGGGAGCTAATAGAGGTTTTTAGGTCTCAGGCACGGTTACACACCACGCTGGAGAACCACCACAGATCCACACCGATGTGAGCCGAGTTAGGCAGCAGAGCAGTGTGTGGCTGGTGCCCCATGCAGCAAGCCTCAGTCTGAGTGGAGATCAGGACCAGACGAGGTCAGACATGATGAGGAACAGACCACCACCACCCTCCTCTACAGAGATATAAAGGAGGGCCATAACACAGAGGAGAGAGATCTGAAATATAAAGAGGGCCATGCCTCTGCTCTGACAGGTTGTCATTGTAAATAACAATTAGTTCTTAACTGACTTACCTGTAGAAATAAAAGGTGAAATAAAATAAAAAGTGGGGAGAGATCTGAGAAGAGCAGAGGATACCTCCCCTCCCTGCCTCCCCCTGCACTCTGGGGCTGCAGGCTGAGTGAGTGAGTTCAAGGACTATCACTCCCATGTAGGGCACAGAGTTTCTCCTGGTCAGAGTGATCCTCCTGGCCTGCTCACATAATACAGAGGCTAGTGGATGCTCGTAACGTGTCCATGTTGAGGACCACAGGTCAGGCATGGTGAAGTGCAGTCAGCTGATAGAGGTGTATATGCCGCCACAATAGCTCTGGTCCAGGGCGATACTAGCTATATGTAACACCCTGGACCAGAGCTAAAGCCACATAAGAGATGAAATACTGGACTGTGTCCAAAGACGATGCCATTTAAAAAAAAACAATTAAGTCATTTAGCAGACGCTCTTATCCAGAGCGACTTACAGTTAGTGAGTGCATACATTTTCATACTGGCCCCCCGTGGGAATCGAACCCACAACCCTGGCGTTGCAAACGCCATGCTCTACCAACTGAGCTACACAGAGAGCCGAAGCCAATTACCACATCTAATTAACTACAAGCTGAAACACATCACACACACATTATATAATGGCATAAACACTAAAGGTCACAATCATCATAATTAATGTATGTGACATGATGGAATTGACATTTGGTCCCAAGCCCCCTGGGGGTGATACAGGGTTCTGTGTGTGTGGTGTGTGTGTGTGTGTGTTAGCTTCCTGTGTGTATTCTAGAAGCCAGCCACACCTCCTGTGGACCAGGACCATCCCAATGTCGACTAGGACCAGCCCAGTATTTGACTAGGACCAGCCCAGTGTTGACTGCTGGTCGGTAAGTCATGTCTGCCTGACTAAGTTTTGGGGTCTGGAAGCTGGAGACTGGGCCTCAGTCACTAAAACACTGTAGGTATACGGGACTTATGAGGAAGGGAGCACAGACCCCACACTGTGACAACATGAGCACACACACACACACACATAGATAGATATACAGGTTTTGTGTGCAGCAGGTTACATTAAGTTAGATATCCTGACAACACCCTTCCAACACCCTGGGCCGGGGCTGACTGGGGGGTCTGACAGCTGTGCTAGGGGCCCGCTGTCCGCTCAGGCTATTCCTGGTCTCTGGATAGTGGAAGGGTGTGTGTGTGTGTGTGTGTGTGTGTGTGGGTCTGTGCAGCCCCTCCTCCCCCTCCTGATGCAGCTGGTCTGTGTGAGTGTCCAGACAGGTTTTATGGTCATTACCTCCCAGAACCACAACCCCCAACACCAAGGTTCCAGGTCATCTAAAGGCTCTTTCATTCTGCACACTGACCCAATGAAAGGACAACTTGATTCCTGCTTCTCTTCAGGATGTGGGCTGTTGTGTTACCATGTTTGTCTACTATGCACATTGGCATTGCACAGCATCTCTGATCATTCCCCCTTTCAGATGGAATTAAAAACTTTGGACATAGAATGATAACATAGATTTTAAAAAGTAATTACACAGTAATAAACTGCACTGTTGGTAAAGAAAGGTGGTCAGTCGTTTTCAGAAACTGACGCTGATAGTTCTTATATCAACCACTAGATAGCAGGCTTGATCCTAAAAAACAGAGCTCTCCTTGAGTCTCCGTTGACCATTACATTGTATTCGCCAAACAAGAGACTGATGTGAAACAGTGCCACTCTGCAATACATACGGCATTAAACCACTAAGAAAGACATTGGATGATGGAGGTACAAATGATGTACAGTGGGTTACGCAGCCTCCAATTAGAAAATATTGGAGAGATTATTTAAATGGCTGATTACACATCAACAATGTATCACAATGTTTAATCCATGAATGTATTCATATTTTAGGCCACTCCACACAATCACTCTTTAGTTCCCCACACCTGGCAAACAAACAACCCTCCTACATCTCGCTAGCTGACAAGCCTCAGAAATTGGGCGCCCACCACACGTCCTCACCTGGTCTGAATGGAGTGGCGGACTCCGCCTGCCGTTTCCTGAGAACACACATCCCCATTAAGGCCTGGCTAGGTGAGAGAGGCATCAGAGGTGTGTGGCCCCTGGCCTGTCTGCCTGCCTGTCTGTCTGCATGTCTACCTGTCTGTCTGTCTGCCTGTCTGCCTGCCTGTCTGCCACCATCTGCCTCCCTCCCTGTCTGCCTGCCGTGGAGGCTGTGGAGGAGGAGGAGGAGATGGAGGGAGTGCTGAAAGCAACCCAGGCAGACGAAGGGAGGGAGGATAGAGTGATGGAATAGCAGTCGCTGCCAGGCGGGCCCAGCTTCACGCCAAGAACACTAAAAACCTTTCCATTGTGACAACTAATCCCCATCACACAGTGGCCAGAGAGAGAGAGGCTGCTGGGCCCTGGTCAAAAGTAGTGCACTATGTAGGGGATAAGGTGCCATTTGGGACACAGACAGAGTGAGGGCCCAGTCCCAAACCAACCTCAGCCTTTCACCTGTCCTAGAGCTGCTACCCAGGCTACCCGGGCTAAAGGCCAGCCGCTGCCAGTAAGGATATGAAATGTCTACCCTTCAGAGGGCCCACTAATAACTGACCACTTTAGGTGGTTTGTCTGGTCTGGTGCAGCCATTCATAGAGACCTTTAGAAATACCACAGAATCTAGTAACACTTGCCATAAGAGGACATACACTTAAACTGGCTTCTAAGGAGAAGATAACTAGCTCATATGTTAAACTCTTATATTAATGCTTATCAGCTGCTTAGGATTTTTTGCTTACTATTTGCTACGTTATGGAACACGTCAAGCCGTTGTGATTGATATGAATGATTGAATAAGGGCATCATGTGAGTCTCCTCTGTGTATAGCTCTTCACAACAAGCAGGACCCGCATCAAGCAGGACCCGCATCAAGCAAGCAACCATAAGCCTGTGAAAAGGAGATCATCCTAAACCTCGAGGGATTGCCAATGATCCCTGTCTGTAGGTGAGAGTGAGGATGAAGAGGGTTGGTTCCTCCAGCCCAGACCTACCTTGCTGAGGATGTAGATGGCGTCTCCCCGTCTGAAGGACAGTTCATCTGGTTGATCTCCTGTACAGTCCCATATACCCTGGTAGTAGTTCTGGTAGTCTGTGATCTTATTCACTGTAGAGAGACACAGACAGACAGATTATAGGAGAGAGATGGATCAGAATCAAAATGTTCCCCAGTGTCTACAGTACATGGGTGGTTATTGTGATGTAATGGTGTGTAATCTCCAGGGGTGGTAGAGAGCTAACAGAACAATACAGACTAGTCATCTCTCTCCTTCTCCCTCCCTCCTGCCCTCTCCTCCCTTATGGTTCTGCGCCCAGATATCTAACTGATTACTTTCCCCATGTTAGGGATGCACACAATCACAGCACCAAATCAGGTGTTGCTAATTTGTGCTTATACAGGTTCAGGAGTAATGCTGGGAAAGGTACTTTCTCGTATACTGGAGCCTCAGAGTGGAATGTGTTGCCTATGCCCATAAAAACTATGTCCTCTCTGGGCAGCTTTAAAAAAACAAGTTAAAAAAAAACTGTTTGATGTGTTCTGTGGCCATTTGAATGTACCCTACAATGTAACTGCAATGATGATAGATATTCTTCTTCTTCTTTGTTTTTATGTTGTATTATCTCTGTCATACTGTGTGCAACCGTGTTGGATCTTGCACAGCCATCTTGTCTCAAGAGGAACACAACGTAAATAAGTCCCAGACTTTGTGTGATTTTACTCATGTGCATGTATGGATTTTAAAAGTTTTATGTGTGCTTGTTTTTTTTTTTTTTATGGTCTATTTAATAAACTAAACTTCCTCTGTTTTCTCCTATGACGTGTACAGGGGATTGAGCCTCTATAGCTTTTATACATGGTAACCACATAACACTCAAGAGTGGACCATTTCTTGTGTGAGGGGTTAAAAATAGCTTTCAGTTTGTTTGTACTGACATCATGCAAATGCATGTGGTTTTCTGAATTGCAGAAATAAGAGGTAGGAGGATCAAACTGAAATGTGGTTATTTCCAGAACAGTGTGAAATGTCTGTGTGCTTTTTCACCAGGACTTCCTCTCCGTCATCATGACTTCCCTTTCCCAGTGTGCCTTCTCTCAAAACTGGCATCCTCTTCTTGATTCTGCAATGATCTGAACCACTCTGAAGTCTGTGTTTGGTGAGGTTAAAGGATGAGAGGCAGGCATGTCTCTCTCTGTCCAGTTACCTGTAGCTTTAGTGGGTGGGCTGGGTTTGCTGTGTGGCGTGGGTGGTTCCACCTTGGGCTTTGGAGGGCTGGGCTTTGGAGGAGCGGAAATGTCCTCCTCTGTGTGTGTGTGTGGGGGGGGTTAGAGAGGTGTAGAGAGAGGTGTAGAGAGAGAGAGTAAACAGTATTCAGTAGTTGCACCTCAATTAATTAACATAAACAAATAGCTGTGTACTGTTACTATGGTGTGTGAGAGGGATTTAGCCTGGCTGTAGACTGTTACTATGGTGTGTGAGAGGGATTTAGCCTGGCTGTAGACTGTTACTATGGTGTGTGAGAGGGATTTAGCCTGGCTGTAGACTGTTACTATGGTGTGTGAGAGGGATTTAGCCTGGCTGTAGACTGTTACTATGGTGTGTGAGAGGGATTTAGCCTGGCTGTAGACTGTTACTATGGTGTGTGAGAGGGATTTAGCCTGGCTGTAGACTGTTACTATGGTGTTGTGAGAGGGATTTAGCCTGGCTGTAGACTGTTACTATGGTGTGTGAGAGGGATTTAGCCTGGCTGTAGACTGTTACTATGGTGTGTGAGAGGGATTTAGCCTGGCTGTAGACTGTTACTATGGTGTGTGAGAGGGATTTAGCCTGGCTGTAGACTGTTACTATGGTGTTGTGAGAGGGATTTAGCCTGGCTGTAGACTGTTACTATGGTGTGTGAGAGGGATTTAGCCTGGCTGTGTACTGTTACTATGGTGTTGTGAGAGGGATTAAAATAACACATCCTAGATCTGAATGAATGAAATAATCTTATTAAATACTTTTTTCTTTACATATTTGAATGTGCTGACAACAAAATCACACAAAAATTATCAATGGAAATCAAATGTATCAACCCATGGAGGTCTGGATTTGGAGTCACCCTCAAAATTCAAGTGGAAAACCACACTACAGGCTGATCCAACTTTGATGTAATGTCCTTAAAACAAGTCAAAATGAGGCTCAGTAGTGTGTGTGGCCTCCACGTGCCTGTATGACCTCCCTACAACGCCTGGGCATGCTCCTGATAAGGTGGCGGATGGTCTCCTGAGGGATCTCCTCCCAGACCTGGACTAAAGCATCCGCCAACTCCTGGACAGTCTGTGGTGCAATGTGGCGTTGGTGGATGGAGCGAGACATGATGTCCCAGATGTGCTCAATTGGATTCAGGTCTGGGGAACGGGCGGGCCAGTCCATAGCATCAATGCCTTCCTCTTGCAGGAACTGCTGACACACTCCAGCCACATGAGGTCTAGCATTGTCTTGCATTAGGAGGAACCCAGGGCCAACCGCACCAGCATATGGTCTTACAAGGGGTCTGAGGATCTCATCTCGGTACCTAATGGCAGTCAGGCTACCTCTGGCGAGCACATGGAGGGCTGTGCGGCCCCCCAAAGAAATGCCACCCCACACCATGACTGACCCACCGCCAAACCGGTCATGCTGGAGGATGTTGCAGGCAGCAGAACGTTCTCCACGGCGTCTCCAGACTCTGTCACATGTGCTCAGTGTGAACCTGCTTTCATCTGTGAAGAGCACAGGGCGCCAGTGGCGAATTTGCCAATCTTGGTGTTCTCTGGCAAATGCCAAACGTCCTGCACAGTGTTGGGCTGTAAGCACAACCCCCACCTGTGGTCGTCGGGCCCTTATACCACCCTCATGGAGTCTGTTTCTGACCGTTTGAGCAGACACATGCACATTTGTGGCCTGCTGGAGGTCATTTTGCAGGGCTCTGGCAGTGCTCCTCCTGCTCCTCCTTGCACAAAGGCGGAGGTAGCAGTCCTGCTGCTGGGTTGTTGCCCTCCTATGGCCTCCTCCACGTCTCCTGATGTACTGGCCTGTCTCCTGGTAGCGCCTCCATGCTCTGGACACTACGCTGACAGACACAGCAAACCTTCTTGCCACAGCTCGCATTGATGTGCCATCCTGGATGAGCTGCACTACCTGAACCACTTGTGTGGGTTGTAGACTCCGTCTCATGCTACCACTAGAGTGAAAGCACCGCCAGCATTCAAAAGTGACCAAAACATCAGCCAGGAAGCATAGGAACTGAGAAGTGGTCTGTGGTCACCACCTGCAAAACCAGTCCTTTATTGGGGGTGTCTTGCTAATTGCCTATAATTTCCACCTGTTGTCTATTCCATTTGCACAACAGCATGTGAAATTTATTGTCAATCAGTGTTGCTTCCTAAGTGGACAGTTTGATTTCACAGAAGTGTGATTGACTTGGAGTTACATTGTGTTGTTTAAGTGTTCCCTTTATTTTTTTGAGCAGTATATATATATATATATATATATATATATATATATATATATATATATATATATATATATATATATATATATATATATATATATATATATACATATATAAATATATATATACAGTGGGGAAAAAAAGTATTTAGTCAGCCACCAATTGTGCAAGTTCTCCCACTTAAAAAGATGAGAGAGGCCTGTAATTTTCATCGTAGGTACACGTCAACTATGACAGACAAAATGAGAAAAATAAATCCAGAAAATCACATTGTAGGATTTTTAATGAATTTATTTGCAAATTATGGTGGAAAATAAGTATTTGGTCAATAACAAAAGTTTCTCAATACTTTGTTATATACCCTTTGTTGGCAATGACACAGGTCAAACGTTTTCTGTAAGTCTTCACAAGGTTTTCACACACTGTTGCTGGTATTTTGGCCCATTCCTCCATGCAGATCTCCTCTAGAGCAGTGATGTTTTGGGGCTGTCGCTGGGCAACACGGACTTTCAACTCCCTCCAAAGATTTTCTATGGGGTTGAGATCTGGAGACTGGCTAGGCCACTCCAGGACCTTGAAATGCTTCTTACGAAGCCACTCCTTCGTTGCCCGGGCGGTGTGTTTGGGATCATTGTCATGCTGAAAGACCCAGCCACGTTTAATCTTCAATGCCCTTGCCGATGGAAGGAGGTTTTCACTCAAAATCTCACGATACATGGCCCCATTCATTCTTTCCTTTACACGGATCAGTCGTCCTGGTCCCTTTGCAGAAAAACAGCCCCAAAGCATGATGTTTCCACCCCCATGCTTCACAGTAGGTATGGTGTTCTTTGGATGCAACTCAGCATTCTTTGTCCTCCAAACACGACAAATTGAGTTTTTACCAAAAAGTTCTATTTTGGTTTCATCTGACCATATGACATTCTCCCAATCCTCTTCTGGATCATCCAAATGCACTCTAGCAAACTTCAGACGGGCCTGGACATTTACTGGCTTAAGCAGGGGGACACGTCTGGCACTGCAGGATTTGAGTCCCTGGCGGCGTAGTGTGTTACTGATGGTAGGCTTTGTTACTTTGGTCCCAGCTCTCTGCAGGTCATTCACTAGGTCCCCCCGTGTGGTTCTGGGATTTTTGCTCACCGTTCTTGTGATCATTTTGACCCCACGGGGTGAGATCTTGCGTGGAGCCTCAGATCGAGGGAGATTATCAGTGGTCTTGTATGTCTTCCATTTCCTAATAATTGCTCCCACAGTTGATTTCTTCAAACCAAGCTGCTTACCTATTGCAGATTCAGTCTTCCCAGCCTGGTGCAGGTCTACAATTTTGTTTCTGGTGTCCTTTGACAGCTCTTTGGTCTTGGCCATAGTGGAGTTTGGAGTGTGACTGTTTGAGGTTGTGGACAGGTGTCTTTTATACTGATAACAAGTTCAAACAGGTGCCATTAATACAGGTAACGAGTGGAGGACAGAGGAGCCTCTTAAAGAAGAAGTTACAGGTCTGTGAGAGCCAGAAATCTTGCTTGTTTGTAGGTGACCAAATACTTATTTTCCACCATAATTTGCAAATAAATTCATTAAAAATCCTACAATGTGATTTTCTGGATTTTTTATCTCAATTTGTCTGTCATAGTTGACGTGTACCTATGATGAAAATTACAGGCCTCTCATCTTTTTAAGTGGGAGAACTTGCACAATTGGTGGCTGACTAAATACTTTTTTTCCCCACTGTATATATATGAGAAATGGTAGACCTGGGAGTTCTTCGTAGATGTCATCGTCAATAGGCTCCGCCTCGACAGGGCCAATGTCATCGTACGTCTCCTCGTCCAAAGGAATGACCCCTGACATGTCTGCAAACACACATGCACAGCCACACACACACAGCCACGCACACACAGCCACGCACACACAGCCACGCACACACACACAGCCACCCACATCCACCCACACAAAGCCTCAAATGAAATAAGGGAATTTGTCTATACTTGTTACTATTAAACTATTCATAAAAGACTTCACATGAAAAGTGCGTTGGATAAAATATTAGGTATAATGGTGAGTATTACAAACCTCTCAAAACAAAATCTATCTGCTCCACCCATTCCTCTGCCTCTTTCTGAGATGACGCACAGAACTGAGAGAGCAGGGGAGAGAGAGAGCAAGGTAGGTAGAGAGAGAGAGAGAGAGAGAGAGGTAGATAGAGAGAGAGGTAGGTAGAGAAAGGTAGAGAGAGGTAGTAGAGAGAGGGGGTAGGTAGGAGAGGAGGATACGCTATCCGGAGGAAGCTCGATAGCGATGAGCGAGAGGAGAGAATAGCCTCGGTAAGGAGATCCTCGTTCGGAGAGTCTCAGTCTTGTCGGGAGTTAGAGAGCTCGGTCGCGAGTCTCTCCTCTGTAGCGAGAGAGGTCTGTCGCTGGTCTCGCGCGAGGTAAGAGAGAGAGGTCTCTAGAGCGCGCGTCGCTCGGCGCGGGTCGTTAGCGGCGGTAGAGAGCGGATAGAGGAGAGAGAGGAGCGAGCTATAGAGGGCGGAGGTATGAGGGTATGGTGGAGAGGCGCGATACGAGAGAGTAGGTAGCGAGGCGAGAGGTAGATAGAGAGAGGAGGTAGGTAGGTAGAGAGAGTTAGAGGAGAGGTAGGTGCGCGGATGAGGGGAAGGTAGGTCGAGCTAGGCGGTAGAGAGCGAGCGGAGGTAGAGGAGCGGGTCGCAGGTCCGGTCGGCGGGAGGTAGTAGAGAGTTCGCGCGGCTGAGGGTCGCGCCGGTAGCGCTAGCCGGGTCTGTCCGCGCGTGCGGTAGCGGGTGGTCGAAGGGGTCAGGAGCGCGCGGGAGTAGGTTGCGCGGTAGAGAGAGGGTCGAAGGTGAGAGAGAGAGAGGAGAAAGAGAGGGGTAGAAGAAAACGGCCGTCAGTAGTTTCACCTAAATTAATTAACATAAACAAATAGTACGATATTTATGTATTAGCTAAACTTTCCTCAAGGAAGGAAAAAACTAGCTAAGAAACCTGAATATGTATGTGAGAAATACTAAATGTGTATGTTTTGCATCATCATTATGATGTGGTCAGTGACACTTTGCATTTTTGAAAGTCCAATCTTTTGAAAAATTGACTGCTGACATGCAAAACATTTTGGGAGTGTATCAACAGTGGACTAATAAAAAATGATAGTTTTTGAGTGGATTTTCCCTTTAAGCGTAAATCATAATCCACAGACACGCGATAGTCCGGCGTCCCATTGGGACATAGCGACGCGCTCTGAGACCACCATCTGCTGGGGAAAGCACAACCCGAACGCACACCTCCCCACAATTCCCAACCAACGTGGCTCCTGTACGCGTCCTCTATTATTTTGAATATGTTGACAGTTGGAGGAATTGCTTTAGCTGAGCTGAGAATTCAAAAAGTATGAAAGTATATTCAATATTCTAAAACACTGCTGTGTGGACGCATACACATTTTGGACTATGATAGAAGCTTTATCGGGACTGTTTACCAGACAGATAAATCTTAGTCATGGACTAAAAAGCTATTTCAATGAGATTCTAGATATTCTCCAAGGCACGGTGAATGTGTCTGGGAAACCGGCCCATAGTGCTTGCAGAAATGTTGCATGGACAGACTGCACTGATTATGGTATGGTATGCCTCAAAGTGTCATCAAGAGAGTAGCTTTCTCTCTCTCTCTCACATGATATACTCGCTTGTCAGAGGCAGAAATTTCAAAGCAGCAATCTTTCTTGGAATCTTTTCGCAGGGTGTTATTCATCTTGACACTGTAGCCATCAATCGCAAACTCGCCCTTCTGCTGCTTGTCTGTCAGAGGAGAGAGAGAGAGAGAGATAAACACAACAACAACTCATGATTACTAGAGTAACAACATTGTTTGGCTAAATTATATATATATATATATATATATATATATATATATATATATATATATATATATATATATATATATATATATATATATTCAATAAAAATGGAATACTATGAAAACATCAAATATACATTCCCAAACGCCACAAACTACAGTTGTGTGGGAAGTCATGAATGTTGAATACCTTTCTCACTGCTGTAGTAGTAGAATGTCTGGTTGAATACCTTTCTCACTGCCGTAGTAGTAGAATGTCTGGTTGAATATCTTTCTCACTGCCGTAGTAGTAGAATGTGTGGTTGAATACCTTTCTCACTGCCGTAGTAGTAGAATGTGTGGTTGAATACCTTTCTCACTGCCGTAGTAGTAGAATATGTGGTTGAATACCTTTCTCACTGCCGTAGTAGTAGAATGTGTGGTTGAATACCTTTCTCACTGCCGTAGTAGTAGAATGTCTGGTTGAATACCTTTCTCACTGCCGTAGTAGTAGAATATGTGGTTGAATACCTTTCTCACTGCCGTAGTAGTAGAATGTCTGGTTGAATACCTTTCTCACTGCCGTAGTAGTAGAATGTGTGGTTGAATACCTTTCTCACTGCCGTAGTAGTAGAATGTGTGGTTGAATACCTTTCTCACTGCCGTAGTAGTAGAATGTGTGGTTGAATACCTTTCTCACTGCCGTAGTAGTAGAATATGTGGTTGAATACCTTTCTCACTGCCGTAGTAGTAGAATGTGTGGTTGAATACCTTTCTCACTGCCGTAGTAGTAGAATGTGTGGTTGAATACCTTTCTCACTGCCGTAGTAGTAGAATGTCTGGTTGAATATCTTTCTCACTGCCGTAGTAGTATGTGTGGTTGAATACCTTTCTCACTGCCGTAGTAGTAGAATGTGTGGTTGAATACCTTTCTCACTGCCGTAGTAGTAGAATATGTGGTTGAATACCTTTCTCACTGCCGTAGTAGTAGAATGTCTGGTTGAATACCTTTCTCACTGCCGTAGTAGTAGAATATGTGGCTGCTCAAAGCGCACCATCTCTTCTGCCACTCTGTGCCAAAGAAGCTGTGATCTGTGGAAGACAATGGGAACATTACCATCAACATAGTTGTACAATCCAGAACCTGGAGGCTCATAAACAGTGTTGTTTCCCCCAAAGTCCCAGAGTATGTGTTGTGTATGTTAGTGAAGACACCAATGTCGTACATAAACAATATACAGTGCCCTCCACAATTATTGGCACCCCTGTTTAAGATGTGGTCGAGGACTTCCAAAAATTCTCCTTTTTTTTTTAAACAACATAGAACCCAAATGCAAAAAAAGAGAAAAATCCAACCTTTTATTTAAGTACATTACTTTGGTGTAAAAAAAAAGTATCACACATAAAAAAATAATAATAATTGAAATCATGTGTCCCACAATTATTGGCACCCCTGATGTTAATACTTTGTACAACCCCCTTTTGCCAACAAGACAGCACTTAATCTCCTCCTATAACATTTCACAAGATTGGAGAACACAGAGAGGGGGATCTTTGACCATTCTTCTTTGCACAATCTTTCTAGATCATCCAGTGTCCTGGGTCCTCTCTTATGCACTCTCCTCTTTAGCTCGCCCCACAGGTTTTCGATTGGGTTGAGGTCTGGGGACTGAGATCAAATCAAATCAAATCAAATTTGATGGCCATGGGAGGACCTTGAGTTTGTGACTGCTGAACCATTTTTGTGTAGATTTTGCCACATGTTTTGGATCATTATCCTGCTGAAAGACCCAATGACGACCCATCTTCAGCTTTCTGGCAGAGGCCATCAGGTTTTTATTTAAAATGTCCTGGTAGTTCAAAGCGTTCATAATGCCATGCACCCTAACAAGGTTCCCAGGGCCTTTGGAAGAGAAACAGGCCCACAGCATCACAGATCCTCCACCATACTTCACGGTGGGCATGAGGTGCTTTTCGGCATACTCATCTTTTGTTTTACGCCAGACCCACTTAGAGTGTTTGTTGCCAAAAAGCTCAATCTTAGTCTCATCTGACCAAAGCACACGATTCCAGTTGAAGTCCCAGTGCCGCTTAGAAAACTCCAGACGTTTACGTTTGTGAGTGTTAGTGAGAAAAGGCTTTTTCCTTGCATGCCTCCCAAACAGCTTGTTGGCATGTAGAGAGCGTCTGATGGTTGTTTTGGAGACTTTGTGACCCCAAGATGCCACTCTTTGATGCAATTCTGTGACAGTGAGCTTAGGACTTTTTTTTACTTCTCTTACCATCCTCCTCACTGTGCGTTGTGGCAAGATATAAAAATAAAAAAATAAAAAAAATAAAAAAAAATATATATATATGTATTCACTAACTGTAAGTCGCTCTGGATAAGAGCGTCTGCTAAATGACTAAAATGTAAAATGTAAAAATGTAATAAACTTGGGACCACTTCCAGCCTTGTTTGTCACTGTTCCAGTTGTTTTAAACTTCTTAATGATTCCTCTGACTGTAGATACGGGCAAGTTAAGGCGAGTGGCTATTTTCTTGTAGCCATTGCCTGACTTATGAAGGTCGACACAAATCTGCCTTACTTGAATGGTGTGTTCTCTTGTCTTTGCCATGTTGACAAATGGGTAAGAGAATTAGGCCTCTGTGTCACGTCATATAATTTTTTTTACCACCAAAGTAATGTACTTAAATAAAAGGTTGGATTTTTCTCTTTTTTTGCATTTGGGTTCTATGTTGTTTAAAAAAAAAGGAGAATTTTTGGAAGTCCTCGACCACATCTTAAACAGGGGTGCCAATAATAGTGGAGGGCACTGTATGTGTATATATGCATGTCTATGGAAGACCCCCACCCTTCCTGCGTTTCTCCAGGTGTCCGGCCTTGAACACAGACTGGAGGTCCTGAGCTGCCACAGCTGGAGACTGCTGAGCACCTATAGGGAGAGAGACAATGATGCAAGTTTATCAACCTTCTATCAACCTTCTTTCCATTCTCATCATTTAGATCAATGACTATGGCTAAGCCGATTGGACAACTGTTACTTTGGCAAAACAGGAAATAGTACAGTTTTGCTTTCTCTTTTCTTGCAATTGCTCCCGAAAACCAAGATGACCTACTACACAGTCCCAGATTCCAATGAACCTCACAGTGAAAATGCACCTTTACAATGTTCAAAAAGAGAGTAACACACATCTTTGCTTTTTTGGTTTGTCATCAGTTCAGTCGATATAGAAGTTAAGAATCTCTTAGTCCAGAAGGGAACAATATTTTGCAGCCAACTAGTGCAGCCAGGAGACTGCTTGCCTTGTTCAGAGTGCAACTTCAATGCAAATGTTCAACTCTGTGTCAAAGTTGCTCTGTGTAAAAGAGCGGCCATAAAACTGACAGCTGCTTAAAGGCCAATAAAACCCAGACCCCTTTACCCTTTCACAAGGTTTATCTTGATACTATTAACAAAACCAAATACACAAATGCTGTATAGGAGCTGGACTACTGTATACATAGGCATGCATTTTCTTGGACTGTAGTAGAAATGTTCAGTGGTAACTCTAGACCTCTTGACTGCACCCTGCGAGGTTCTAGGCTGTGAGTAATAAACGACTCTCGCTCTGTCACAAGGGGCCAACCCACAGCTGTGCCCTTCAAATGGCTTCCAAAGTCAGTTGCCAATGTTTGTCTATGGAGACTGCATGGCTGGGTGCTCAATTTTATACACCTGTCAGCAATGGGTATGGCTGAAATAATCAAATCCACTCATTTGTCCACATACTTTTGTATGTATGTAAATAAATGTCTGTAGTTTAGTGTACGGTAGACTGTATCAGAGTCGGGGTCCATTTCAATTCAGTCAATTCAGGAAGTAAACTGAAATTCTAGCTCATTCCAATTGTTTTCTTTCAAAGAAGCATGAATTTAAATTTGTGTTCCTTGAATCCAACCCTGCTATACACCCTAGTGTTAACCCTGGTCTATACACTTGTGTTCACCCTGCTATACACCCAACTGTTTGTGACATACCTTCACAGGTCTCATCCTCCTTATCTGTGCGTTCTGACCCTCCATCATTGTTGCTGTCCACCTCTTCTTCCTCTTCTGAGTCCTCTGCATCTCCTGGTTCATAACGGTAGTTGTTGATACAGTACAGTAAGACACACGCACGTCCCAAATGGCCCCCTATTATCTATATAGTGCACTACTTCTGACCAAGGCCCATAGGGGAATAGGGTGCCATTTGGGACGTAAATATAATATCGGCCAACTGTACTGCATGTTACTTAGATGTATTTTTAAACACATTGACATCAAGCACACAGAGATAAAACATACGTTTCTCGTTGAAATCTTGAGGGTATCTGTAAGACACGAGAAGGAAACGATATATCCGCACAGTACAACTGAGAAACAGCTATAGTTATATTCATGAACCAACGAACTGTTGCAAAAGCACAAAGTATTTATAATATATAAAGGTTCTTCTGGAGTCTAATCTAACTGTAAGTCGCTCTGGATAAGAGCGTCTGCTAAATGACAAATGTAAAAATGTAAACATACCCAGATTTGACCTCTTTGATCCGCTTTACAAATGCTTCTCTTTTCTCCTTCGCCTTCTTGCTCAAATTCTCTCCTTTCAGACCATCGGAGAGGAAATCTTCAAGATCTTAAAAGGGGAAGAAATATGAAGGCGTCAAAGTTTGAGGTCATGTGATCACAATAATTAACCAGAATGACTAAGCCCATTCCCAAATATTTAAATGAATATTCAACTATGGTCTAAATATTAAAAACAATTCCCCGTTTTTAGGATACATTTCTAACTTTTCCACATGAAAATATTGTCCTTTTGGTTTTAGTATAATTGTTTTGGAGCGATAAACAAAAACTTCGGATGGAAACGTGTGTACAATATGTAGCATGCATATTCATTTCAAACTGCCAACTAATAAACTAATCATATTAGTTACAACTGAAGGGTGCACCTGTTTGTTTGTGGCAATCGTCTCTATGGTGGAAAGACCTCTACCATCCATATAGCAGTGAAACAAAGCCACTTACTTCCTCTTTTTCAAAACAGTTATAAAATGTTTTTGTAAAACTTCACGTTTGACAACGATAGGATAGAAATCCATTACACTAACACGTCGATTATTAGAAATACCTGAAATAAGCGTCGTTAACTCCTCCGGAATTGCCCGCATAGTAAAAAAACACAAAGTAAAAAATCCAGTAAGGGTAGACTGGAATACGGAAGCTCTGGTGGGCTGAGAGATACGGAAGTTATAGAATAATTTCACTAATCGAATACAATGACCACTGGCTACAGCGCAGCGACACTATTCAAATATTGACCGCGGGCCGTATCCTTCCTTTCTTGATCCACCTGCACCGCCACCGCGTTTAACCTGCACGCACGGTACCTGCACACCCAATAGTATTTTCTGGAATGCGTTTATTTACACTGACGCAACATGTAAAGTGTTGGCCCATGTTTCATGAGCTGAAATAAAAGATCCCAGAAATCTGCTTATTTCTCTAACATGTTGTGCACACATTCGTTTACATCCCTGTTAATGAGCATTTCTCCTTTGCCAAGATAATCCATCCACCTAACAGGATTGGCATATCAAGAAGCTGATTAAACAGCATGATCATTACACATGTGCACCTTGTGCTGGGGACAATAAAAGGCCACTCTAAAATGTGCAGTTTTGTCACACAACACAATGCCACAGATGTCTCAGGTTTTGAGGGAGCGTGCAATTGGCATGCTGGCTGCAGGAATGATCACCAGAGCTGTTGCCAGAGAATTGAATGTTAATTTCTCTACCATAAGCCACCTTCAATGTCTTTTTACAGAATTTGGCAGTACGTCCAACCGGCCTCACAACCGCAGACCACGTGTAACCACGGCAGCCCAGGACCTCCGCATCTGGCTTCTTCAACTGCAGGATTGTCTGAGACCTGCCACCCGGACAGCTGATGAAACTGTCAGTTTGCACAACCAAAGTATTTCTGCACAAACTGTCAGAAACTATCTCAGGGAAGCTCATCTGCGTGCTTGTCGTCCTCACCAGTGTCTTGACCTGACTGCAGTCGGCATCGTAACCGACTTCAGTGGGGAAATGCTCACCTTCGATGGCCACTGGCACGCTGGAGAAGTGTGCTCTTCACGGATGAATCCCAGTTTCAACTGTACTGGGCAGATGGCAGACTGCGTGTATGGCGTTGTGTGGGGGAGCGGTTTGCTGATGTCAATGTTGTGAACAGAGTGCCCCATGGTGGCAGTGGGGTTATGGTATGGGCAGGCATAAGCTATGGACAACGAACACAATTGCATTTGATCAATGGCAATTTGAATGCACAGAGGTGCTGTGACAAGATCCTGAGGCCCATTGTCGTACCAATCATCCGCCGCCATCACCTCATGTTTCAGCATGATAATGCACAGCCCCATGTTGCAATGATCTGTACACAATTCCTGGAAGCAGTAAATGTCCCAATTCTTCCATGGCCTCATACTCACTAGACATGTCACCCATTGAGCATGTTTGGGATGCTCTGGATCAACGTGCACGACAGCGGGTTCCAGTTCCCGCCAATATCCAGCAACTTCACACAGCCACAATCAACAACCTGATCAATTCTATGCCAAGGAGATGTGTGGTGTTGCATGAGGCAAATGCTGGTCACACCAGATACTGACTGGTTTTCTGATCCACGCCCCTACCTATTTTTTTAAGGTATCTGTGACCAATAGATGCATATCTGTATTCCCAGTCATGTGAAATCCATAGATTAGGGCCTAATGAATTTATTTAAATTGACGGATTTCCTTATTTGAACTGTAACTCAGTAAAATCTTTTAAATTGTTGCATGTTGCGTTTCTATTTTTGTTCAGTGTAATTTAGTTGCCTCCCTCTCATTGGTTTATTTACTTGACCCCGTCACCCCACATTCCACAGTTTTAAGCAACAATTAGGTGAATTATGGTAGGCAACCTATAATTAACGTACAGATTCAATCTCTGTTCATATCTTAAATGTAATGTGGTACACACAGACAGCAAATGGCAGTTTATTGAATCAGGAGCCTAGGCCCTAGGGCTGTTCTGAGTGTGTTGATGAACATCAGATCTGTGGTGGCAGATAGTACCACACATCACTCACTACCACATATTATAGCTTCATGGATAATATCTTCCTCCCAAATAGCACCATATTCCTTATATAGTGCACTCCTTTTGACTGGGGCCCAAAGTAGTGCACTATGTAGGGAATAGGGTGCCATTTGGGACGAAGCCAATGTAGGTGTGATAAGAATTCCTTGGATGGATGCCTGGTTTGTGCCAATGTAAACTGTTAGTTTGCAAACACAGAGCCCTCTCTGAGAAAAAAACAACTCCTACTCCTGTTCTGTGTTCAGGAAAGAGACCAGGGGATCATCAGTCAGTGTCAGCCTGTTGGGGAGGTTTGGGGCCATGGCAGGGTCGGGTATCATTCTGTCATTCAACTACCAGACACTGCACTCAACCATGGTTCCTAAACCCACATCATGTTTTATGAGGGATCTCAGACTCAACTGGGTGTGTTCATTTCTCTGTCCTGTCCAAGCCTGTGTATATAAAAGTGTATTGTCCAATCAATTCCATGTACAGTACTGTCTGTCATCCATTGTGAATCAGTCTGGAGTTTGTGTTACATCTCAATGTGCCCTCTGTGTGTGTGTGTGTGTGTGTGTGTGTGTGTGTGTGTGTGTGTGTGTGTGTGTGTGTGTGTGTGTTACGTCTCAACTTGCACTATGTGGGAGACAGTTGGGGCATGGTGATGAAGCTACAGTACATGTTCAGGGAAGCATGGTACTCCTGTCCTCCTCTCCTGTCTCATCTGTCGCTAAAACAACATAGCCTATCCCCCGGGGGGAGGGGCTACTGCCAACATGGTTCTCGTTGGCAGAAAACATTGAAAAAAGGTATTGTTGTTATGGTGATAAAAACCGGGATTGTTAATCTCCTGTACTGTAGCCTACAAGGCAGGGGTTATTGTCACCATTCTATGAAGCTTGTTTATATATGTTTTTAACCTTGTGTCAAACAGTGTCACCTGATTCTTGTTAAAAGACTCAGCCTTTGAGCTATGCATAGCTTCCAGACAGTTTAGAAAGTGAGACAGGCAGGAAGGACTAAACCTATCCACCTGTCACCCCACCTTTTAGGCTACTTCCCAAATGACACCCTATTCCGTATGTAGTGCACTACTTTTGACCAGAGCCCTAGGAAACCTCCCCTTTCATCTCTCAGGAGGAGCCAGGATCAGTCAGACTCAGGATGGGTACGGGAGAGTGGCTGTCTCTGACCTCTAACCTCTGACCTCTGACCTCTAACATCACCCCCACATCTGGGGGTTCACCAGGACGTATAGGGTTGCAAGATTCCCTGTAACTTTCCCAAAATTCCCAGGTTTTCCAGAAATTGTGGTTTTAGGATTTAGGATTTCCTGCATTTTCCTTTTTGATTCCAGGAATCTTCCAACTAGGATTTCTGGAAAACCTGGGAACTTTTGCAAAAGTTCCTGGAATTTTGCGACCCTACCAGGACCACTGGGATTGATAGAGCCTAAATCCTGAGACGAGTATACACTTCCTCTCCTGTCTGCCCTGCCTTCCATGATAGTGTGAAAACATGTACTGATGCATAAAACACAGGTGGAGTGCTTACTGAATGGATGTAACCAGGCCTACTGGACCAGCGCCAGTATTCAGAAAGCGTCTCAGAGTAGGGGTGTTGATCTAGGATCAGTTTGGCCTTTTAGATTATAATGAATGGACAGGGGAATCTGATTAGCTCAGCACGCCCACTCTGAGGTGCTTTATGAATATGGACCCTGGTCAACAATAGGCTTCAGTCTCATTACTCACCGTTCACAACATCCTTTTTAATGTAAGAATGTATCAATATTCAAACATCCTCCTATCCTGTTGACCTTTACCTGAGCAGCAGATAGGATCACTCTGTTGACCCCCAGCTGACCTGCCAGGGGTTCCGTCCTGCGTGGTGAGGGAGATGAGAGGTGGCCTGACCTTTGACCTCTTCGGGAAGAAAGCTGCACGGTGTCGGATCTCCTCTCCCACAATGCACTGCACTCGCTGCTCACTGTGTTTTTCATCTGGTTTCAGGTCAGTTCAGGTCAGTTACCAATGTTTTACCTTCTGACATTGGTTGGTTGGCACCAGAGGAGGACTGTATGTATACGTGTGTGGGTTCGCATGTGTCAACAACAGCATTTTAGTGAAAAGACTATACTTGAATTTGGATGCAAAATGGCAGACAAAAAGTATATGGCAGGGCTACGCCAGCTGGCAGACAGCTTCCAGGTAGCCCTGCATCGGCCCTGGGTTCATAGAGTATTCTGGGTTTTTTCAAACACTTTGAGCCTATACCGGCAGTCAATGCCAGATGGGCAGGGTTTACACTTCTGTACTATTCCATTGGTACCATTGAGCCAGACAAGCACTTTGAAAGAAAACAAATACTACTTGAACCCAGGTCCATCTACAATGTTGTTACTACAGTTATTACTTTGTAGGTTCATAGGCATGATGAGGGCAACGTGAAGGTAAAGTGCTACCATGAGTTGTGGAGCACACAGTCAGGTCTTGATCCAAGCCCTGTTGATTGTTCCTCAGACTGACTTTCATTGGCCCTGCAGGGGCATTGGGCCGAGGTTTTAGAGGTGTTAGAAGGCGTTACATTTACAGTTTGTTTCAAGTCAAAAGCAGAGCTTGAAAGTGACTGACTGCCTCCTCGGTTTACAGGGATTAACCTACTCAGGTGGTGTTTTGAAACGGCTCAGGATTTTTGACCATTTAACTTCAAATCTCTTCTGTCACAACTCACATAATGATAGTTCACCACCTGTGTCACCCCTCAGTGTTGTGGACAAACCAATCATGGAGTTGTGGACAGACAGGACTGGGGTACAGTAGTACATCACAGTGGAGTGGACATGAGAAAAACTATGTATAATCACATGAGATATAGGGCCCTGGTTAAAAAAAAACAAGAACAAAAAAGTTGTGCACTATATACACTAAACTCTATGACATTTTTAACTCAAATACTTCTAGTAAGTTGTACTCAAAGTCAATGACTAGTCATTATTACTTAAAATATTGATGTGGTACTGACTCAAAACTAAATGAGAAGTCACACCAAATAAATATTTGTAAGATATGATAACAAATTAACATTTTTAACATATTTTTTTTATATCTGTGTTTTACATTTACATTTTAGTCATTTAGCAGACGCTCTTATCCAGAGCGACTTACAGTTAGTGCATATATTACATTATTTGTATTTATTTTTTATTTTTTATTATACCCCCCGTGGGAAACGAACCCACAACCCTGGCGTTGCAAACGCCATGAGCTACATCCCCTGCCGGCCATTCCCTCCCCTACCCTGGACGACGCTGGGCCAATTGTGCGCCGCCCCATGGGTCTCCCGGTCGCGGCCGGCTACAACAGTTTTTGCATGTACATTGATTAAATGTTATGATACACAAAGATAAATATTTGTTTTCTAAACTAATCCAATCATTGGATTTTTGCACCCCTTACTGAAATGGTTGTTCCAGTTTAAATGGCTTAGGTTGTCTCCTCCCACTGTTCTTAACCCTGGCAGTCACTATGAATACAGGTTGCAAGTGAATACAAATTTCAACTGCTGGATAGCCTAACGCTGGCTAGATTCCAATAGGAATTACACATCACTTTGGAAGCCAGTATAATGTGATTTACAGTTAGGGTTGCAAAGTTCTGTTGAATTTCCCAGGTTTTCCAGAAATCCTGGTTGGAAGATTACTGGAAACATTTTGGGAAAGTTTGTGGAATTTTGCAACCCTACTTGCAGGCCTGATGTGGCCTGTAAACTATGAGTTTCAGGCCACTGTATAAGGCCTTATGTAATATGTAATGATTATATTATAATTATAATATTCATTGGAACTCACTTGGTGAAGGCCACAGGACTGAAAATGAACGTCATGGGTGGTAACTCTACAATTCAATCGAAAAGGCACACTGGGAAACTATTGGGGGCGTGGCTTAATGGGGGCGTTAAATTGAAGTATACCTTCCTGCATTTGTATTACTCATATGAAGGTAGTACTGCTCACTTCAGCCATTTAAGTTTCTTAACTTATAAGAAAAATTATAATCGTTTCCTCAAAATGTTTGAGTAGCTAGAATTGATCCGTTTTTACAGTGATAGGGAAGAGGTTGCCATTTGAGAAAGGCATGCTCTATTTGGGTGAGATAATTCAATGGAGTCAACCCAATAAATGTATCATTGTCAAATCTGCCAGGTAATCTTAGTTATTACCTGTCTACCTTAGTGAATTTTTGTGACAAGACTGTAAGAGCATGATTTGTTGCGCTCTTCAGATTAGATGTATAGAGATTATAACTTAATTTCAACTGTTTTATAGACTACAGTTTTCGATCTTACTCTTTATTGCTCCTTATAATGCATATGTAGCCTAAAAGGACCTACTATAGATTGTATGGCAGAAGGCTACAGGCTACTAGGCTACATTTACAGTCCATCTCCGAACAAATTTATTTTCTTAAACAAAAATGTTCTGTCACATTTGTTCAATATAATCCTACATTTAAGGACGAAATTTATGTCGTAAATTTGATTTTTTTTAAACAATTTATTACTGTTTGAAACGACCACTAATAAATAGCGTCAGACAGCATGCTGACCGTTCCGTGGTGTTGTAGTAGAAAATGGCGGTGGTCTGAGCGTATCCCGCTATTCGCAGGCCCACTGAAAGAAGCAGGCTCCAGTCTAGTGTAGCCTAGTACGCTATGCCATTGTTAGTGCGTCTGGTGTTGTGATACAGGGCCTAATCATTGTGAAAGAAAAGGCAGTCTTTGTATCCTTAATTGGATATCCCTATCTTATGTTTTATTCACTAGGCCTATACGGATTTGTAGAGGAACTATCAGGCTTCGAGTATCTGTCTGAGCAGTGATTTACCATTGACATGGTAGACTAGGCTAGGATTACAGAATGTTGTATTGCAATCAACGAATTGTGTTAAGTATTCAACCAAAATAGTCTGACAAGTGATCATAATACGTTTCCATATATTAAATATAATCATAATATACAGTTCCATGGATTTAATTTACCCGTTCAGCACCTGTACATTATTCATAGACTATTTAGTAATATTATAATATGTTAATTACAAACAACTGTCAATTAACAGATTGGGTTTAGTTGGGAAATAATAACCACATAGTCGACACTTATTGTTTAGTTTCAATACTGTAAAACTAAACAAATAAAACTTTAAAGAGGCAAAAATCAAGAATCTCTTTCAACAGCGGATTGAATTACGTAGTGTGAAGTAGTAGGCTATACACTCCCCCTCCTCCCCATGCTGTAAGTTTTATAGGTTATAAAATGTAATTGTAGAACGTCAACAAAGTTACAGCTTTTGGCCGAGGACTCCCGGTATCCCCCAATAGGAAGATTGTTTTTATTTGTGCATGTACTACGGCCATGAATCTCTTTAATTACGTCCTCAATCATAAACTACTGTGATTTATGGACTCAGAAACAATGTAATCTATGTCTCATTCAACAGCTCTACTCCATAGTGTATGGCTAATTCACTCATCGCTACTTTCCAGGAAAAATATTCAAGAGCAAAACAAGCTACAGTTGGAAAATAATTAGTGTAACTTCATTAGAAGTAGCCTATTATTCTTGGACGTATTCTAAGTCTGTTATTTTATTGTTTGGGGGTGAAATTATGTTTGGAAATTATCGCAGTGTTTGTTCAGCAGTTTATATTTGTGATTTCCGTTTATGAGATGATCAAATCTGCTCACTATTGTCCATTTAACACCAATCAATTGACTTTATATATTTCAGGATAAAGAGTTTCGCCTGCCATTCTGAAGGAAAGATTTCATCATAAAAAGATCACTTGTTGCAACAATATTCTTTGTAAGAATATGCCTAAGAATCTAAGAATATTCTAAGAATATTGAGACAATTATTTTCAGACCCATTGCATGCTAAATCTTTCTTTAAAAAAAAAATGGTTTAACTAATGCAAACATAGAAACTTTCACGTGAATGGAAAATAGTAAAGGACATGATGATGAATATCTCTCGTAAATAAGTACAATTTTATTCTAAGAAAATATACTATTTATAACATAATTCTACCAGAAAATTGTAAAAAAAAAAAACGAAAAGATGTTGTTTCTCATTCTTTGTAGGCATAATATTGGCATCACATACAAACTATTCAATTGATTAATTTATTGTTTTAAAACTTACCTCATTGGAGCCATGTATTAATCAATCAATCAATTACATCAAAATAAAAACGGAAGCCAATTATTTGTAAGGACATGGAAGACAGGAGGCTCTTCCTAAACTAACATGTTTGAGTTGCTGTTTTCTCTTTTAGAATGGTTAATAGCTCAAGTGTTGCAGGTCGATTGTTGTGAGCGTTTCTGAGAAAAAATCGAAACCTTCAGTTGATAAACCCATTGGACTATCTATAGAATCTGACAAACTTGGTGAGAAGGAATCCGATGAGAAAACGTGAAAGTCCTGCAAAGAGACGTCCAGGGCCGGGGAATGGGCATTGTCCCCGCCAGATGCGCAGTCCGGGCCTATTGTTGACACGCATATAGGAACAGTGGGTGCCGGGTTAGGAAAATTTTTCAGATTTTTGTCATCGCTGTTTAAAGGCGAAGCAGTTGAGCTTTGGGAATCTCCATTGTGATTGTGTGCATTCTGAGACTGTTGTTGTGAAGTTAAGGTATTTTGGTGAAAAGAGTAGCTTTCCCTCTCCAGAAGCGCGCCGGCGGGTAGGCCTACATTGTTAGCAGCCTGTTCGAAGTCCTCCTCTCCCCTGTCCTCCAGACTATTGAATGTCCCCTCGCCGTTCTGGTTCTCCTTGCAGTGGGTTTGTCTCTTGTGCTTCATCCTGCGGTTCTGGAACCAGACTTTCACCTGCCTCTCAGTTAAATCCAGTAAAGCAGCTATCTCCACCCGCCGGGGTCTGCACAGGTACTTGTTGAAGTGAAACTCCTTCTCCAACTCCAGTAGCTGGGTGTTGGTATACGCTGTCCTCAGCCTCCGAGAACCCCCGTCACCACTCTCTGCAATCTCTGGCGACCCTGAAACACATTGAAAGATATTTGAAATGTTCAACCCATACAAAAAAGCAATTGATGATTGAATACAAATATATATAAATGGCAGTTGGTAAATAAAAAATCTAAAGGTTCTACTGGGCCGCCCAGCAAATGGTTTATGGGAGCACAGACACGGCACTGAGACGATTTATGAGCCCGTAGCAGAATATGATGGGTCTACGTGGACCAGGCCGACTGGCTTGAAGATTAATGAACATGCCAGCTGCCGGTCGGTCGGCCTGCAGTAAGAGTAATCTATCACTCTCCATTACTGTCACACATTAACATTCTTCCACCGCATCACCAGTCAGCAAGCACATTGACCACTAAGAATGCTCAAATAATTAAACTTTTGCTAATAGATATTCTGCAAGTCATGAGAGAGAATTAGCCCCAAATTAGAATGTTGAGACCAGACAGACCTATGCATTTTGATAGGCTAATAGGCTACCTACCCAGACTGTAATTTAATTAAAATAGAATAGAGGCAATATATAGGCTAATCAATCATGTCTTACCTTGGGGAGAGAAGTAAAGAGGTGCAGTGTCGGGAGTTGTAGCTGTGGCAGTAGTCTGGTGGTTTTTCTTGGAGGCTTTCTTCTCCTTCATCCAGGGGTACTCCGGGGGTAGGGATGCGGCTGGCAGAGGGCTACAGACTCCATTCAGACTCTGCTTTGACCGGCTGGGGCGTGGGTGGCTGCCCGGGTTGAGGCTGGGAATGGTCTGCTCAAAAGGAGGAGGAATCAGTGTCGACTGTGAAAGCGTCGAGTTCTTGATTGATGAACTTTGAAATGCATCACCCACAGGGGTAAAAGATGTCAGGCACTCAGCAAGCGACGGCTGACTATTGATAAAACCGCTCTCTCGCTCAAATTCGTAATTCATCTCCTCTTTGTCTTAGAAAAGTCACCCGTCGTAATTTTGTGGGCGAGGAGAAAATTATGAAATTTCGTGACAAGTGTTTTTTCCCCAACAATTTTGCTGATTACAGCCGTATGGGGACAGCGATGCCATTAAACTATATTGCTTTCATGGAGACAAGGTTGAAATTGGACCGTATTGCTTGTCACATGATTACCTCTGCCCAATGACAATTTGGGGTTTAATCAAAAGAAGCCACTGTCCTCTGTGATTGATGGAGAAAGTCGGAGAGGTAACGCCTAGTTCTGGGGGTAGGGTCTAGTCTGCTTTATTTACACACAGTACTGCTTCCGAATGGAGGATAGTCCATTTAATAAGAGCCTGTGTGTGTGCATGTGTGTGTGTGTGTGTGTGTGTGTGTGTGTGTTTATCTCCTTTGCGCATTGATACAACACCTCAATGCCCCGGGTTTATGTCTTAATGTAATGACTAAAGACAAATATTTCTGACCAAGCCTGTGGCTCTGCAGCGTGGTGCACGGAGACACAACCAAGCAGACATCCAGTCTTTTTCCTCCTTTTATTCAGCCTCTATCTCCCCTCCCCTCCCCTCCCCTCCCCTCACTAACACACACAGAGAGAGAGAGAGAGAGAGAGAGAGAGAGAGAGAGAGAGAGAGGAGAGAGAGAGAGAGAGAGAGAGAGAGAGAGAGGAGCGAGAGAGAGAGAGAGAGAAATATTTTTGCAGTCTGTAAAGTTTGTATTCTAAACGTAGGTCTTGATATTTCCAAGAATATGAATCTACAAGAATGTGAATACCTTTTTAAGATGAGGACTTTCTTTCTTTAATACTCACCCAGCTATTACTTGTTGTTCTCATTTAAGACTTTGTAGACAAATGTATTAAATATTTAATAAATATGATTATTAATACATACATGTGTTTCCTTCATGGGACGCCATTCATTGAGCACAGATATATTAGGAATAAAGTGCTATTTGCATGTAGGAATGTCATGGGGTGCGTGATATCCTGTCTGCATGTTGTTGGTGGTCTACTCTTTTTGTATGGAGATCTTACAGTGTGACACGTGGTTGTAAACTTGCATCATATTTCTGGAGACGCAGCTGCTTCAAATCCCTTTAATCCACCATCAAAATCTGGCAACATTGAATTGCATCAGAAATTGAAAAATGCATGTGGATGAGAGACGTATAGGCCTACTGACACAAGAAAAGTAGCCACCGCCACGTTATTTTGAAGAAAAATAACATTGAGAATGTAATCCACAGTGAGTGATGCCCCTTACTTCGCAATACCATTTACTCAAGGGTTGTATGCCCCAAATGAGACATTTATTTGTCTTTGTTCAAGTTGAATGATCCCAGATCCGTGTTTAATACTTTATTTTCATCAGTATTACTGACACCTAAGAATTTGGATAGGCCTATTGCACAATATGTTAACAATAGGTTACAGTAGTACTTTGGATAGATGCCTTCCCATTCACCCCATAGAATTATCTCAATTTGAAGTAAAGCAATAAGATCTATATTCTTTGGCAAGAATAACTTTTTTTCATATTCTCCTCCTCCCTGTCTTGAACTTTGAAAAAGTGGTAGGCCCCGGGCCGTTTATTGCTTATATTCCAAACAAAGAGCCTGGAAAGCCTGCACGCTATCAATCTTGCTCGCCAAAAGGTCTGACAGCTCCTTGCCCTAAGAACACATTTAAACCATCTAACTCTGCCTTAGATCATATGTGGCTGCCAGGAAGACGGCAACAACTTGCTACTTATGCGAGGGAACTACACAACTTGTAAGTTTCTTTAATAGGAATCCATTTCCGAATATGGATGTTCTATATAGAGCAGACAATGATATGGAAATACCAGTAAAGGTGGGTTATCTTATCCTGCTTTAATTTGTTAAATGGAAGGAAAATCTACAACATTTTCGTTTTCGAAAGAACAACAGTAGTGGGAAATAGCAGCAAAAGAGTGGATTGACTGAGATCGTGAGAAAGAATCGAATGGATCTATTGTCTGCAGAGGTGAGTGGGTGTTGGCATTCTGCAAAAAAAATCCCATTCAATCCCACGCAGTTTCTGTCTTTGGGCTACCATAATATATATATATGGTATCGTCTTGTCATAACTTCTAAAAACATCCTCTTACTGTATTTCGTGTTTCAAATAACCTACAATATTGTTGTTTTGATATTTAATTGCAATATAGGGTAGCTTGCATTGCCTTCGGAGCACGACAGGCAGATCGTGTGTCATTCTATGCCAATATGTCCGGGATGGAGAACAATAGAAGATATGAAAACATAAGACATTTTAGTTCTCTGAATGCCAATAAAGAAGCCCATAGGCTACACGAAAATGTGATTTATTTGTTATGACTAATGTTTATATTTGCACATAGGCCTAATGCATTATTAAATTGTCGTCAGAGAGCCACATTATGGTAATTATTTAATCAGAAAAAATATCACTAGTGCATTAATAATCCAAACAGATTTAATGCTCAGTAAATTGACTATGCTTATTCGAGAAAAACATTTGTATATATTTAATTTTAGAACAAAGATGTATATCTTATATGGTCGGTCTAAAACATTCAAGCTTATTTGGATATCAGATGTTTTTTCAGATATGAGGTGTAGCCACAAAATAGGTCTAGCCCGTGTTAAAAATTGTGTAAGGAATACAGAGAATCTATCGAAAAAAATTCATTTGAATTATGATATTATAATTTAGTATGCTATTGATATCAATAATATATGAACATATACATTATTTATTATTACAGTTTTACTAAACAAAAAATAGTTTACTTTTATCCTTTCATTTCTATTTACGGCTTAAATTATTGTTTGTGTGCCAACTTCAATCCGAAATACAACTGCATAAATCAATGTGACATTTTTGGTTGAATGAAGCTTAACTTCATTGTGATGTGTATCTGGCAGGGTAGTGGACAGGAGCTACATTAACCGTCTGTTCCCCCAGTCAAGACAATACGAGACACCTGGGAAGCATGGCAGAAAAAAAGTGGACTAGAAGTTAACCTTTTTTCTCTTCGAGGACTACTTATCAGAGGAAAGTAAACGTTTTCAGATTATGTTGTTAGAATACTTTAATATTCCACATGGAAATTGTTATCAACATCAATACCAAGTAGTAGTAGAATTAGCCGCAGTAGACCTATTCATTTTGGGATCAATATAGTAGTGAGAATAATCAGCAATTACAAATACTATTTAAATTGTAATTAATGGTTAATAATCTTACTGATATCTGATATTTTTTACTTTCTTTTGACGTTTTCTGTTTAAAAAAGAAAGGATGCAGTTGTATAGCGAATTCGGTTCAAGTCAGTTAATTGTTAGATCGAAGACAGATGACTGTCTATTCCTGAATTTCCTGAGCACAATAAAACATATTCTCTCACATGGATGTCATGTTTTGCCTTATGAATGAATCATAATCAATCAGAGGGGATGGGCTAAACCCTTTCCCTTTCCAGTATGACAATGTAATCCATGCCTGCATTAGGCCCTTTGGGAAAAAATGGTTATGGAATATTATTATCATGGAACCGGAAGTAAAAACATAACATCGAGTATTCCTGAACAGACGTGTTGCAGTGGGATAGGAGTGGAGTCGTACGAGATGATGGATAAGACTGGATATCCATTTGAAAAATGTGTAAGTCTGTATATGTGGGGAGGAGGATAATTCACAATGGCGATGGCAGTGAGTGGGACTAGTGAGACGACTATACACCTACACATATGGTATTGTTCTGTAGATTAACCTCCCCCACACAGACACAGCTCAAAGGACGATATGCGTGTGTAGTTACATATCCGGACATATGAATTCATGGTAAGTCATGCTCCCTTCGTGTAGCTTTAGGGTTTATACGTTATGAATATAGCCTATAGGTCTAGGTCTAGGACGTTATGCTGCTATGTTGGTCCCGGATATGACGATAGAAGATGGATTCTGCAGAGAGGAGTATGTCACTGAACCAAAGATGGTGAATATATAAAGATGTCCCACTCAGGCCGGTTTACCGTTGAAAAAAAATGGTCAGCTCCAGTCTATCGGAGTGGCTCTCCCATAGGCACCAGTGCATTAGCAGCTGGGTCTGGTCTGCTTAGTTCATTGACTGTATATGAACCAGAAAAAAATGAGGGAGTGGGATGTCTCGCTTCCTCTTCCTTCTCTGACTGAACATCGAGGCAAGTGTTAAGACTGAGGGCGTCCAGGAATTGGGTCAGGAGAGGACAAGGCCTTGTGCTGAATGATTTAACAACGTAAATTGTTGTCAAACATGTTTTGTAGTTATGAGGTAATATTTTAGGCCCTTTTCAAATCACGTTTAAAACCCCACTTTTTTTTAGCTTGGTCTTTAATCAGAGATGTTATTGTTTTAGACATCCTTTGGTGTTTTATGCTCTTTTATTCATCTATTTGATTGCTTCTGGTTTGCTTTACTTCTTTCATGCTTTACTGTAACATGTGTTGAGATTTTAAATACACTTTAAATAAAGTTTGATTGATTTGATCAAAAGTTTCCATTTTAATCAAAATTTCATCTATAGTTTATAAATGTGTAAATAATAATAGTCTTTCATGATTTTCAGGACCAGTTTATTATGTCATGTTACTTCTTGCCTCTCTGGCATTATTTTAACACATTTCCAAACACCATCATTCATCTCAGATGAAAAGAAACTGACAAATATCATATGACCTTTGCATTACAATTGTGTATATTGCATCATATGACCTTTGCATTACAGTGGTGTATATTGCATCATATGACCTTTGCATTACAGTGGTGTATTTTGTATCATATGACCTTTGCATTACAATAGTGTATATTTAAGCAATAAGGCCTGAGGAGGTGTGGTATATGGCCAATATACCACGGCTAAGGGCTGTTCTTAGGCATGACGTAACGCGGAGTCCCGTGTAGCTCAGTTGGTAGAGCATGGCGTTTGCAACGCC